GACACAATGTCCAGTGGGTCTCTATTGCCAGGTCAAAGCCAGGCGATTGAGGAGGAAGAGGATGATGCGTGTTGGGAATGGTTGGTGAAAGGATACTAAACACTGAAATGGAGTAAGGTAATAAATAGGGAGAAAAAGGGAAAACATCTCTCACTGATCATAAATATTAACTTCATCATACAAGATTCTCAAAATCTTTCGTCTACGTTACAGTTTTCAAACATTAAGACAGCCTTTACTCAACAAATCACACCCAAAAACTGTGGCTTGATCTTTTAGCCTTAAAAAGGCGTGCAAAGTGGACATTTTGCCAGTGTTGTGAGATGCGTCAGAAATGTTGCCAGTACTCCTGAAGCCAGTTTGAATTTGACAAGTTGCTGGATCTCTCTTCTGTTTGAAAGATTAATTGTTGCTTTGTTCTGTGTCTAATAGTGCTGCGCAATGCTAGAATTTGCAGTGCCTTGCAAAATGTGTTCATACTTTGAGGATCTTCTAAATATTCATATTTAGATGTATGATGCATAGATCTAAGTACAGATACAGACTTTACAATTGCCTTTCTATACAGTTCTACTTGAAAACAATCTTCCTGCACAGTCTGGGCTTTCTCCCCGTGACTTGGGTTATCTCTGGTAAATTTTTGACCAGACCAATCAGCAAACAGAAGGAGAAGTTGTGAATGATGTTTTTGTTTTAGAATTATAGTCTGGCTGCAGTTTTAGAAATAGCAGTGGAAGAAGTGAACGAAGCCATTTAGCCTGTTGTCCATGCTTCCCACTTAAATTAACATTAACATCTGCCTCGTTTGGATAAGAACTTCTCTCTTTGGATGAGATAAGTTCTTATTTGGTTGTTAAGAACTTCTTTGGTAAGCTTTGGTAAACTTCTTATCGTCAAACTGGTGCTTTACAGGTGTCACAGATAAATGTTAGTGATTGGGTAAAATTTTAAATATCCACACAGTCCATGCCTTCAGGACTCAATTGTTTCTCAACAGCCAAGAGATCAGGCCCTCTATACGAAGCAAATAACATAGGACAAGGGACTGGTTTTCACCAAGCTAAAACTTTACAGGTGTTTTACTGTCTTCATTCAAGCTTAAACACGCCTCCAGTTACCAGGTGGCAGCAGTGCTCAAACTAAACAGGCTGCCAGTTTAGTACTTCTGGTGCAGAGCTGAGAAGGAGCTCTGTACGCTTCTGTGCTTCCACAACTTCAAGTTCAACAAAGTATGTAAAGGTTGAATTCATGGGAGTCTGCCTGTCCATCCCAAACAAAAGCTTTCATGAAAAAGAAATCTCACAAGAAAACAAATAACTTTTGCATTTTGCAAAGTATATCTCTGCCAAAAGTAATTGCTTTTCCACATTTCCCCCAGCCCAGTACAAACAATGTCAGCATTATGTTAGCTCCAGGAAAAAGAAAGGAGAGCTTAGGGCCTTTGATACAAACAGCGAAAAGGTAATGAGGAGATTGACATTCCTTGTTGGTGCTCTCCATTGAAAGTCATCACAGAGACTGATTCACACAAGTCAATTGAAATTCTGGTGGTGAGGCTAAAAATGTGCTGTTGATTTGTACTTATAATAGGAGCCCTACATTCTGGTTATATTGATGCTGTTTGGCTTTCTAATGGATATTCTCGAACTCTGACCTTCTACCTGCTCATTGATGATAGGCCACTTTGTCCAGATTGAGTGGATGGAAATGTGAGAGTGATATCGATAAATAAGCAGGTGGAGATTATTCCACCTTCAAAAACTACATCAAATGACTGAAATCTGTCTAATAAAATAAAATAAAATAAAGGCTTTATAATCAATGGACACAAAGCCAATCCAACTTTAGTTTTTTTTTAATTTTTTTATTTTTTAGCAAACGTACACAAACACACACACACACAAATTTAAAGCTTAAGTGTTGTTATTGTTAAAGCACAGTCCTTTGCCTCGTGAGAAACTGTGCGGTGTAATGCACTTATATTTCTGCAGCGTTTGAAAAACGATAGGAGTGGCTTAGTCGTCATGCCAGAGTTTTCAAAGACCTCTTTGTGTAGAAGTGTTGGTCATGGCCAGAGACATCCAACTAGCATTTATTCTAAAGTTCCTCCAGATGCTGAAAATTGTATCAGCTGGGACTATGTTAATATGCATTTTTATAACATGGATGGTTGCGTCACAGATCATTAGTGATTCCCAAAAAAGGCGTACTTGTGAATGGAAGGCAACTTGAGGTTTTCAGTAGCAGTCAGGGTTGTTGACCAGCTGCATTAATTAGTCTAAGAAACTTTAGAACCTTTAAATGATCCTCATCTCAAAGTAGAAATATGAAATACTCCACAGAGCATCTTTTTAAGAAATAGATTTTGTAAGCTGTACTGTTATTAAATGTTTGTTCATGTGTTTCCCTGTAGCTGCACTTGAGATCAGGAAAATACTCAAGTTCACTTTGCCAAATACATCACATTCTTTGGCAAAATAATCCTCATCAAAGGGACAAAAACCTTCAGAATGAACACAGATTTAGGTCTCCAGAGCACTGGCCCAACAAGCTTATTTAAGAATACAAAGTTATTTTCCTCCCAGGTTATTTTCTTTAGCTAAATTTAAGATCAGATTTTGTTTCTCGGCATGAGTTCTAAGGTGGTTTAAGGAAGCACTGAGATTTTCAAGTTATGCCAATACTTTCACAAGTTAGAAGTAATATATTGAATTAAATAAACAAACAGTTGGTTGTTAGAAGTACTTAAAGCTGAGATGAATCTTGAACCTTTTCATATAATTTAGTGTGCTTTATTAGGATCTGATGTGATGTACCAACAAAAAGCTACATGTTTTTTAAAACTATAAGTCTGTTGGGGTTTGTTTCTAACAGTTTTGCCTTCCAGGATTGTCCTTCTCAAACTATCAGTTCAAACTAGATTCCCTGATTTGTAGAGTACACGAAAAATACGTTTCCTAAGGATTGACTCCCCCACTTAAGCTCTTGATCTCCACTGCTCCTCCAGGGTAAGGTCTCATCTTTTTATCATGTTTTACTAAAGTCCTTTGTGGCATAATAAGGGCCTTAATTTCTCGACATATTGCCACAATACAAGATGTGGCTTAAAACCTTTCTGTAAAGCGGTTATTATTGGGTCGCACTGCAGACAGGTTTTCTGTTGGACAGATGTTAACACCACCGTTCTGATTATTGTAATGTAACATTCTCAGGGCCGGAAAACATTAATCTCCCTGTTGAATGTTGTTCTTAATATGACTGTTCATCCATCTCAGACCTTAAGAGTCTCCTTCACTTATCACCGAGGGATCCTCCAGAATGAGCTGGAAAGGGTTGGTGTAGAAAGGGATGCTCGGGTCTCCAGAACTGGAGATGTCTGATATGAGAATAAGAGGAAAAGAATGGATGGATCCAACAATTAATTAATCCCAAATGAATAGAAGAAATATTTTCTAAAAGTCAGTTGATGTGACCTGATATCTTTAACAGCTCCACAGGAAACACAAAATTTTAGCTCATTGCTAATAAATTAAACTTGCGTCTTTTAAACAACTAAAGTGGAAATGGAGTGTGAAAACACTGAATTTGTCAATCCACACTTGCGTGGAAAGCTACAGTTACTGTCCAGATCAGAGATGTATCATTTTGCGCTTATGTGCACTAAATTTCAATTTCTTTTCAGAATATATTGGTACTAATCTAAGTGTCCAGGGGCTGGGTCGCCGAGATCTCCACCTTTTGGCACCGGTCTCTCATGTTTATCCCTGCAGGTGGTAGGTAGACCCACTGAGGATAGCCTAAAACCATTCCTATTGGCTTGGCCCTGAGCAGCCACTCATAATAGACCCTATCCCCAGGTCTGGCTCCAGAGTGGGGCCCTGGCTCCGCCATATTGGGTGATGTCTGATGTCTCCGTCTTCCAGTTATCATGGGGAATGTTGAATCATTCTTTGTCTGACCCTTCACCCGGAGCCTGTTTGTCATGGGAGACCCAAAGGGGCAATTAAGATTGTAGCCCTACATAATAGCGCACACTGATGATGAGTAAATGTAAACCTCTGACTAGCCCTGAGCATTTTTGAGAATTATATTGCATGGTCACTCTCATAGATGTTGCAGTTTAGCTGACCATTCTGCTTTCAAAGGCAAGACTAATGCAACCTCAATATCCCGTTTTTTTTATATTTTACTTTTGAGGATATTCTTCTCAGGTTAAGTCACTTTGAAAGTTCCACTCTGTGGGATTTATTCATGGAAGAGCATGAATAGACGCAATACATTTTGTACTTTTAATCTGATATAGTAGAGAGGAAACCATGCATCTTTGTGGGCTAAATGAAAGGAAGATGCCAATTGTCTCTGGGCTGTTTATGATCTTGTGGGAGAGGAGAAATGTGTTGTTTCCAGTTAGTCAGAGGGAAAATGATGATGCAGCATGCATGAGAGGGGATGGGAAACGTGATCTGTTACATAACTTGACCAGTTTTCCAACATTTAGGTTAGAGTTTGATCTGTGTGAGCTACCAAAATACAGCACAAACGTACCTATATAAAAATAGGGAACCTCTGATGGCAGCAGGGTACATTTGTACATAAAATCCACAGCCTTACTAAAACTAATCCAGCAATCAGAAACGCAAACTCTCACAGGGAAACATCTGGAAGTTGTGGTAATCTTAAATTTTATGACATTGTAATAGTTTGTCAGTTCAAATATAAATTGACGGTAATGATCGAAGCAGCTGCATCCGCGCTCATTCCAACTGCGTTCAAAAGAGTTGCAGTAAGAAACCCATCATGTAACTTGGCAGCGGGAAAAATGTGTGGCCACATGGACTTGTGTGTGGATGCAACACAAGGGGGTGTTACTTCTTGCGGAGCGCATGCAATCCCCTGCAAAAAAAAAAAAAAAAAAAAAAATTCCCAGTGACTTCAGATCCAAGGAGGAGGCGATATTCATGGGAGCACGGTTCAAACTCTCACTTGGAGCACAGCTTCAGCAGCCTTTCAGCCACTGCTCTCTCTGCGCTACTTTTCCTCTTAACCATAAACTAAAACAGATTGAATAATGTTTGCTTAAAATAATAATAATAATAAACAAAAAATCTGGAGATTTCTTTTCTATCCTTGGACAGATTTCAGGAGGTGATTTGAGAACCTGAAGACAGAGTGTTACCTGGGCATTATGAAAAGGTATCCAGGCGTCTTTCATTGCTGGGAGAGGATGTTTTTGTGAAAAAAAAAACAAACAAACAAAAAAAAAATTGTTCATGTTTTTGTGAGTCTTGATAAAAACTGTAACGCGATCTGCAACTTTTTGTGCGCTACTTTTAAAACTTTTCATGACCGAAATGGAGCGCACCGGATTAGCTGTTTTAATGGTTTTAAGTGTTGCGCTCTTGCGGGTTGGCGACGGTCACCAGGAGGCAACAGGTGGGAGGACCGAGGCAAGCCAGGTGGTCCCGGACCATCAGATCAGTCAGGGTCACTCTCCCAAAGAAGATCTGGACCTCTCGAAAACACCTACCGCCAGCCAGTCGACAGCTCTGCCCCGCACGACAAGGGGAGCGTCAGCATCCAGAGGTGAAACGGTTCACGCTGCTGGCGCATCCGGGGAAGACCTCGTCTCATCGTCGCACGACAGAGCGCAGCGCACAGCCAGACACCCGCAAACGAGCAGAGTCAACCGCAGGCAAAGCAGCAAGCCCGGCTCGTCCAGCACCAGACGACTGGCTGGGTAAGAGTGACATCTTTCTGCTCCATTATAAACACACAAACATTTTGTTTTCAAGCCATGCGGAGCAGCAGGAACAGGAATTTGAGTGACCTATTTTACTCTAGCAGTCTACCAACAGTCCTGTGGTTTACTGTACTGCGGTTGTGGCCCACTTTTGCAGAATTTTCTTCCAGTAATGGGAACCAGCAAATGATGTAACAAGAGCTACAAAGTTTTGTGTGCATTATTATGCTAAATGCTCTTCAATATAATGCAGCCTTGCTGCGAATTTAGCTATGGAGTCAAATCAAAACAATTCATTGTGATTTAATTGTGTGCTAATACAATGTCCTTCCAAATAATTGAAATGTGAAAAGTCTAGTTATTTCAATATGTCAGAAACGCATATAGATTTCACACAGTGATATATTTCAAGTATCCATTTATGTCAATCTAGATTATATTGGAATATGTCTGGTAAAAACCCAAATTATAGTGCCTTTAACATACAAAATACAATAAAATGCCAATAAAAAATGAATAGACAATCATGGGAAATACAGCTGACTTGACAGATTTTCAGCAGTCATTGCTGCCTCTCCATAAGGAGAATTGAGTAATTGCTGACAAAACTGTCTCTTCATTGAGTCATACCCAGGAATATGAATGGTAAGTTTAATGGTAGGAAAAAGTATGGGAGGAAAAAGATGCGCAGTCAATAGGAAAACCTTCAACAATGAGAGAACTATCAAACAAGACCCATTCATCAGGAGATTTACAAGGCGTGGACTGCATCTAGAGTCATTGCTTCCAGAATCACCACTCACAACGTGGCCAAAACATGGACCATCTGTGGCACTCCTTGTATTAAGTCACATGATATTGTCAGAAGTTTCTAAACTGGATTCAGGAGAAAAGAAGATTGTACATCTTACAAATCCCACAAGGAATCTATGTGGCATTGTCTCAAGCAAAATGTCAGTCCTCAGACCAATCAATTCAGAAAAGCTAATGGACATTATCATAGAACTTGGGCTTCCTTAAGTTTTCAACAGAACCACTAACTGATCACTCAAATGCCCCAAAGCACCGCTCCAGTAATTCATCCAAAATGAGTATAGCAATTATTGGGTGCATATACTGCACAGCACATGGGCATATATTTCAGGAGACAGACATTTCTGTAATAAATTATTAAATCATAAGATCATCAAAATGAACAGAAAAAAATGCTTGAAATATATCACTGCATAATATTAACAGATCAGTATTTTAATATTTTTAAGACAGGAATCTGTGTTTGTGGAGTGATAGTTCAGATTATGGTTGTAACGAGTGTCTATAATCCCTCACTGTCCTTTGCAGAACCTTATTGTTTTCCACAGCGTAACCTGAATACCAGACTGAGATGCAGGGTGATGGCAATTTTTTTTATACCAGCCATCAGTGTGATCATCTGTGTTTGTGCTGTTTGACATGGGATTATCACACTGCCATTATTACACCTTACTATATTATTTACATCAATCACAGCAATAGAGCGGCAGCACTACTGTAGTCTGTGGGCCTCTGTTCTGTGTTCTTGCTGTGACCATTTATTATAGTTGCTCAGCCAGAGTTTTGGCTCATGAGCATTTGCAAATTTGCACCATGATCAGAAACACCTGTTTCTCCAGTGGCTCTTTCTTTTTTGGTTTCTGCTTAACTCTAAAAGGATGATGGGTTGTTTCCACAATGGAGCACTTTTCATTTTGTTAAATGAAGCCTTCTGTATCCTCTCTTCCATACTCCACAGGGACATGGCTTGAACTCGACGAGATGGTGAATATTTATATAATAATCAGAGCGGGATTATAATGGCTCACCTTAGGCTGCAGACAGTGAAGTATAAATGTTACAGAGCTGTTTTTGGGTTTAGGAAACTGTCTATGTGATTAGCTTATCAAAGGTTTATTTTAATAGAAAGCAGGAAGATTCAGATAATAGGTTTGGAGAAACATGAACAGCATGCTTAGTTTCGAGCTAAACTTGAGAGATGCAGCTCCTTTCTATAAAAAATGTGGTGTACATAATGTTGCATTTATCTCAGTGTTTTATTTATACGTGAGGACTAGATAACTAGATAACTGGATAATGATAACATTTGACCTAAATTATTTTAAAACTAGATTTTAACAAAATGCAAGAAACAAACTTGATGAACTTGCATTGTGGATTTATTGTGGATTTTGATCATCCACATATGGGCTTATTCAGGGATGCCCAAGTCCAGCCCTGGAGAGCTACTGTTCTGCAACTTTGATGCTACCCTGAAAGTTTGCAACACAAACTTTCTCTCAACAAAATTTAGTTACAATTCTGACAGGATTGTGCAGTTTTTTTTTTTTTTTTTTTTTGCAGCATTACTTTCATTCAACAATATTGAATGGTTTTTTCAATGTCATGTCAAAGGATGTCTATTGGATATAAATCCTAATCCTCCTTTGGATAATTTTCCTATTGAATAACCTAAGTGAGCTAAACCTCAGGTAAACAAATTGATAATGGACATTCTCCATCAGGACTTTCTGCTAGGTAAAATATGTCAATTCAGCCATGTGTTGATGCAGCAAATCAGCTTCAGATAATCACGATACCACTTACATGTTTGACTGTTGGTATGAATGTTTTCCTTGAATGCTTTATTAATTTTACACCAAGCCTAACTCTATAACAAGATCCACACCTTCCTAAAAGCTCCAATTTCTTCCCATCAGTCCACAGAATATCCTCCTCAAACTCTTAATGAGAGTTGAGTTTCAAACTGTTCTCTGCTTTTGTTTGCAATTCTTCGCTAAATATTTTTCCCACAGACGCTACTTTATCCTCTGTCTTTAATGTTATTCTGGGTTATTTTGTGACCTCCCGATTGAGTCATTGTTGAGCTCTTGCATTAATTGTGGTGGGGTGACCACCTCTGGGGTGGTTCACCACTGTTGGAGGTTGGAGGTTCACCACTGTTGGATGGTTCACAACTCTTGGAGGTTCACCACTGTTCTTTGTTTTCTCTGTTGAGGATAATAGCTCTCATCGTGGTTAACTGGAGTCAACAACACTGAGATTATGGTAGTGGTTTATATGTTTTTTAAAACAAGGCTTGGATGCACAACCTTGCATTGTGGATTTATTGGAAATTTTGCCTCACTCACATATGGTGGGCTGATAGATGTTTATACAGTGTGGAACAGACATCAGTCAGTTTGCTCCAGACTGATTGATGTTCGTGACTTTGATTCCGTCTCCTCTGTTCTCTAATTTCGTTAGATCACATTATGTGGCCTTTTGAGTTTCTTTTGTTTACTTTATAATGTCACACAGCATCTATAAGAGATTTCTTGATTAATTGGGACAATTAGGTGTATGTATGGCTACTCCAGTTGATCACAGCTGTCTAAAAAGAGTGGTTGATTAAAGTGAAATCATAATTCAGTTTTGGGGTGATTACTTTTTTACCAAATCAAGCAAATTGAAAAAAAAGAAAAATCTTTCTTTCCATTAATAAACTACTTACTGCAGTTAGGCAGGTAATCTTCTTTTTATAGCAACATTTTGTCAATAATTTGAAACATTTAAGTGTTATTACAAAGCAAAGTCAGAGGGAAATGGTTTGTACTCTTTCAGATTATCAGAGGGCAAATCATTTTTCACACCACTGTAAACACTTGAGCCAGCATGTGTCACTTTGAGTCTCTTCAGATTAGAGAAAATCCACCAAAAATTCAAGTTAATCCACCCATTTCCTATGTTTAACATTCACTGAAGTTGGTCATTTTTTTAGTAATACCACCTGTCAAAAATAAGAGTATCACCACAAGCTCAATTCATGTTAGATATAAATCTATAGGTTCTATGGTGTGAATTAAAGTTATTTATGTTCCACCTCAGCCAATAAGGACAATCTTGTTGAACTCTAATTACAATGATGCATGCTTAAATTATCTGTCTATTTCAATCTCTGTGCAAAGTAAAATACCCAGCCTCAATATGAGATCCCTTATAATGAAGTTCCTCTATGCAAGAAAAGCACATGGTAAGTGCTTTGCTAAATTTTTCTTCTCAAAAATACATAGAATGAACGGGTTTCCTTTAGTCCTGGGAACCATTGAAGAGGTGTTACATAAATCTGGGAAACACTGCCTTAAAGTAGACTGCACGGTGAGTTTTATGGTTCTTATTCAAGCATTTTCAGATGAATTATCTGTTGCCGGTTAGCGAAAGTGAATGTGTGACACATTTCCTCTTGGAATTCCCTCTCCAGTTCTTCTGTTTACCGGATTTCATACTCTGGCAGATCTGGGTACACTTAACTCTTAATCACATCCAAGTTGACTCAGTTGGACTCATTTTTTCTCTCTCAGTGCACATTACCGATTTCAGGTTGCTTCGGATAGCCCTCCACTTCAAGAATGGAGTAGGTGTAACTGCCTATACATATTTTTCCATGAAGCCTAGTAGTATTGTTGCATTAGGATCTCTATTACATACAGAAATCCCTTGATGGAATTTGAATGTGATGACTGATATCTTTGGCACGGGCTTGGCCTGATGTGCTTGATTAATGACAAAGCTGAGCTTGCCAGAGGGCCCAAATGACTGCATGTTATCCCCGTGACGCCTCCGAAACACTTGCAGCATCTAATAAGCGCAATCCATCTGGGGTCAGTGAGTCAATCCCTGTTATCTTCTCAAATCACCATGAGTCAGACATCCACTTACTGTAATATCTTGTGAAAGAATGATGGGGCACAGATCCATCTCAGCACGTTAACTGCTGCTCTGGAGTTGCTTTTGTGGTCTGGTGCCTTTTTAATCTGCCTTGCTACAAGAATTTGGCCTGGGCTACAGGTGTGGATTAGAGAGTGCAAAGAATCCAGTTCAGACTGCTTAAAACTTGCCATCTCTCATTTGCTGAGTGATTTGTAGAAAATGTGAGGTGTTTTTTATGTCCCGTGTGTCTCAGATAATCCCTGCCAGGTTCAAATAACACTGTTTGTGTTCAGTTTGGATTCTCATCTAATAGAACAGGACTTTGTTGGTCCACAGTACGACAGGGATTTCTGAAAAATTAATAATAAAACAAATTTGGTGCAGCTTATTCTCGATAGTGTTATCGCTCCAGGCCAGTCATACCAGAAGGATTAGAAAGTATATCATTAGTAAAGAGATATATTTTTTTGTGAGAATCCTCTCTAATTCACAGTTATCTTTTGACTCTGTTGCCTCAAGAAGATTTAGTCTGGGGCCTTTCTGTCTGGAGATAGCATGTTGTTCATGTGCATGCCTAGATTTCACACATGTTCAGTTAATTGGAGATACTAAATTGTCCTTAGGTAAGAATGTGTGTGTGGTTGTTCTACTTGTTTGTCTCTCTTTGATAGACTGGTGACTTCTCTATAGTATACCCCACCTTTTGTTTTCATTTTCTGCTGGCGATCGGGACTGTTACCCCAACAATCTTGCACAAAAATCAACTTTGTATAGAAAGGAGATAGATTATAAAGTGTGTAAGGGGATTTTTTATTTATTTTTTTAAATACCATCAACGTTTTAATTCACTCTGTTTTTTGTACATGTGCTTTCAGGCCAAATGTCTGTGGAGGTCAGCAGTGCTGCTCTGGTTGGGCAGTGGCTCCAGGAACCAACCGCTGCATAAAACGTAAGTATTATTCACAGTTTTGCACTTTATGGAAACTTTAAAACCTTTGAAGTTTATTACAGTGTGAAAGTTGGTTTTCAACCTACCCTGGGTTGGTTTTCAACCCAAAGTGAATTGGTAGAATAATGAATATTGTTCAAATTTGTTTGTGAGCGTTTTCATATCAGTATTGTTTCTATTTGAACTTCTCATTTTCTAGTTACAACATTGCACATATTTGCAAAAAGAAACTAAATGATCCCTTTCAAAATGACAATCTAAAAAGTATTATGTGCGGTTCCAGTTACCCCCTTTGCCCTCAGGTTTGTACTTTGCAGAATCACCTGTTAATACTTTTAGAGCTGCAATCTTTTCTAGAGTTTGGCCCATTTTTATTGCCATCTGAGTCAGGTTGAGTGGAAAGAATCTGTGGTAAGCAGTTTAACTCAGGCTGTTTGTTTATAGTCATTCTTCTGCTAGAAGGTGAAATTATGCCTCAGCCCAAAGACTTTACTAAGATCCTCTTCAATGATTTCCCCATCTTTAGCTGCATGTAGCTTCTCATCAACTGTGTTCCAGAAGAGAAAGCCTTCCCCACAGCATGGTGTTGCGGCAGCCATCACTATGCTTCATTGTGGAAGTGATGAAACACAGCAGTGGTTTCAGAGTGAGGTGTGATTTACTTTTTTTTTTCTCCAACACCTGAGGTGCTTTTCCACTGGCAAGTTTCACTCTAATCAGTTAATGGGGCGGTTCTACTCCATTGGTGAGCGTCTCCATTATGGGTCTGTCCCTCATAAGACCCATAGCATGGATATGAGAACGTGGGCTCAGCAGCTGCGGATGACTCTTTGATGATATTTGCAATGACAATCAACAATGAAGTTGTGGTTCTGATGGACTCAAATAAACCCAGATATTTCATTTTGTCTTGTAGACATTTTTTTTGCTGGCTACAATATGACAAAGATTCATATCAGCTGATTATCTTGCTTTACCTATAAATATACGGTAATCATATTCCTGCCCTTTACTTTTTTAAATGAACCTTTGAATTTAGGTAATGCAGTCAAAAGATGTCAACCAATACCCATTTGGGAACTTTATTTTAAAAAATATGCAAGAAAAAAATAAAATGCACATTATACAAAGCTAATATTATGTATTTTCAGTGTTTCACACCATCTGAGTAAAACTGCAGTTGCAACAGAAAGCTGACCACAGCTGCACCCTTTCTCTCTTCTTCATTGCTGCTCGTTCTGCAGCGAGAGACAGAGAGAGATGAGGTACTCGCAGGTCTGCTCAGTCACGGTCATTCCGCTCCAAAACTGAACGCATGTGTTCCTGGTGCTGCTCATGATTAAACTCATATAATTACACTTCTTCACACTGAATGGCTCTCTGAAAGCACTCGGCATGTCAATGGGCCATTGCTAAAATATATGAGAAATGTTGTTTGGAGTTTGCTGTATGGTACTGACGAGCTAATCAATAAATGTGATCAGCTGTAAATCAGATCGCTCCCACGTAGTACTCGGATGTACAGCAATTAGGCTGTACAACAGCCAGACTGAGCCAGGATGGTTCTGCTATTGGAAATAAATCTGGCTCGTGCGAACAGAGACTGAAATTCGAATGGAAAAGCGCCTACAGTGTTTTGCCAAAAAGTTCAACATCTGACCAGACACCATTAACCATGTGTTTGATGTGTTCCTTACATGACTTTTGACAAACTGCAGATGGGACCTCTTATGAATTTATTATTTCTTTCTCTTTTCACTCTTCCATATAGGCCAGCTTTGTGGAATGCATGACTAATAGTTGTCCTATGAAGAGATTCTCCCACCTGAACTGTAAATCTCTGGGGCTACGTTGAGCCTCTTGGCCTCTTCTTTGGTCTATCCTATGCATGATATGGTGTATAGCTATGTATTACTTTGTGTTAGTTTATTCCCATGAAACATGTTGCATTAAGAGTTGGTTTAGTTCTTCAACATAGGCATTTGTGATTTTGCTTTCTCGACCGATCCCAAAAAAAAACTGAGTACCCAAGAGTTAGTCTTTGGATTCCATGTTTTAATCTTATGTTAAACACCAATATAGTTTTCTGGAGACTGTAATAACAGGTTGAAATAAGGGCTTTTTTCTCATTAAAAGTTATCTTTGAATTTTACAAGTGAAGAAAAACACGCTACACTACAAGGGACATCTCCGTGGAGCAGCAAGAGAATGTGCCTACTGCTTCTCCGGTCCTTTTCAGATAATTATTTCCTCCTCACACATGCAAACACTTTTCACACACACTTTTTCTCTGGTCAATTACACAATAGGCTTGAGTGACCCGGCAGTCTTCCTATTAGGCCTGCTTCCCTCTTTCACAGTGCATATATTGCACAACCTCACATAGACATGCTGTACAAACTGTGTATTACATCCAACATAAAGACACATACTGATTGAGTAAATTTCATCTACCTGAACAAGTTCTGCCTAACACGTCCGTGTAAATGAAGAGAGTGCACTTTAGTAGGCCAGGGGTCTGTCCAATCATCTGGGCCCCTTAGAGCTTGGCCGTCACAAAGGTCTGACTGGAGGCAATGTTACTGGCTCCATTTTCGGCAAAGTGCCAGAACGTGGGCCACAGACTGGAATAGAGACTCGCGAATACCCCACTTAGAAGAATTTAGTGGACAGCTTTATTCGGTCCCTCCCTGAGTCCCAGGATACTTTTTAAGGAGATGCCAGTATGGGAAAACATTTTCACAGCGGGGGAAAGAAAAGGAACAAATCTGTCACATCTGAGAATAAGCGAAAACATAAATTTGCTGAGTTATATTTAAGAACTTCCTACTTAAAAGTGGATGATGTAATGTCTAACGTCCAAAGTGTCAGCTGTGGGCTTTATAGCAATGCCTTATCAAAGCAAATATATGTGAGGAACTGATTACTATTTTTACTCAGGAAGCCGCTGGTGTTTCTTTTGAAACACATTTAGTAAAATGGAATATGTCAATGTGCGTGGGCTGATGTTGAAAATGTTGAGAACTTGCCCCCATGTATGTCCTGACAAGCTTAGGAAAGATGATTACCAGACGTGTTTGTGTATTGAAGTAATTTCTGAAAATAGCCAGTGTTGTCAAATACTATACGTTTTTATTTCCTTTGATTTACTTGACTTTTCTGTTGTTTGGTTATGTCATGGTACTGATTAAGGATTTATGTAATGCAATACATTTTAAGTGGCTGAAAAACAGTTTTTTTTGCCTTGTGTTGGTACATGAATGAAGTGTTTTGGCTCGTTATGGTTGAAAACAAAATCCCAATGTTGGAATTTAGTGTTGGCAGCATCACACTGTAGGAGTGCTTGACTTCTGCAGGGACAGAAGAAAGACAGATGCATCTAAGTACAATTATGTACCCTCGAGGCTTCAAAAGAGCTGAGTGTGGACTTTCACCTTTCAGCCACACAACAATCATCAACATATAACTAGAGCTACAATCAAATTAAATCAAATTACAATTATGTGTTAGAATGGGCCAGGCAAAATCCAGGCCTAAATTCAACTGAGAATCTGTAAGACTTTAAAATAGATGATCATAGATGCTCTCCACCCAGTCTGCTACAAACTTTCTCTATTTTGCTTAAAGAAACTGATTGGAGTTTAATATGTTGACGTTTGTGGTTGTAATGTGACCAACTTTTAAAATGTTCAAGTAAAATACATTTAAAATCGCTGTATGTTTACCAAAAAATTTGGTAGGTTTTATAACATCAGGTGGTTCAGAAACAGGATGTTCTGCTGTATGCGCTAATGTTCATGCCAGTGTCTCAAAGACATGCTTTTCCGGAACAGTGCAGATGTCAGTTGATAATTAATTAGATAACATTAATCTCTAGATAAGATTTAAACACATTTTATCCTGCCAGTAATGGTTAGCCATTGGATGCTGCACAGCTGCCAAAACAGCAATTTTCCAAAATGAGGAAGCGGTACATTGGTTTACTATCAGCAAATTTTCTTTTCAATGGGCAGCTTGTGTTGAGGATGGCTTCTGTTTGCAAAATAATCATTTCCTTAGATGTGGAATTGGAGTGCAAGTTGAAATTTTTGCCTTGTTTGATGGTAAATACAGTAACCATCAATTATGCGTCTTGTACATCAGAATGTAATTACAGATTGGAGACTCTTAAAACTCCTATTACTATGTAGAAGATTTAGATCATGTATTTCCTCATTTGTATCTGCCTGCAGAAAATTTCTTAAGATCTTTAGACTCTTGAATGAGGCTTTGAGTCCCAACAGCATTAGCTATGGGTAATCTCACCAAGGTATCTTGTTTCAGTATCACTGTTCATAATCTGAATTACAATTACCCACTGATATAGCTCACTGATCACATGAGTCGTTTTGGATTTGGTTGCCTCGACACAAAGCCTAAAACTTTGACCTAATAGAAAAGGCCCAAGTTTCGAATCTTTACATCTGGTTTTTGATCTGATTTTATTCTGACCAGGAGTTTTGGTTTGTGTTTCTGTTGATTTGGCACACCTTTCAGGTTTCTCGTGCACTTTTTAAAATCCTTACTTTTTTTAATCTGGAAAATCTAGACACTTAGATGGGCATATTTAATGTACTTTGCCTTTATTTTTGAGGGCTCATGCTCATCTACACTATGTAGAAAGTAAATAAGTGGAATTTAAATCAGAGAGACAGAGGTTTGTTATTTGTTCATCTGAGAGACAACCTGGGGTAATAAACTGTTTCTATGACTGCTGGTTGGTTTGAGATGCTTTGCCGTGTCATAGCCAAGATTTGTTGGGTTGAACGGTGATGAGAGCTGATGCTCGAAACCACACTGAGACTGAGTATAATATGTTCACACCCATGGCTTAATATTTTTGGAGCAGCTTTAGCAGTAATAACAGCCTGAATTGCTTTTGAGGCTGTAGGTTTTATCATACATATGGCCAATTGTTTTGAGTCTGTCATCGCTACAAAATCTTCTAGAGACATAATTTA